CACGTGGTGTTTTAGAAATGAGGATAGAAGGCTTAAATTTTAGAAACGACCCTCAACGTAATAAAGGGTAATAACTTTTTGCCAACTCTGTAATAATACCAGGCCTTAAATGTTTTGACGCCATGCTAACGTCATCAATGACTTACGTAAGACGTCAGTAAAGGGGCTGTGTCATGGCTGTTTGCTTCATCGTGTTAATGTTGCCAATTCAGGTATTTACTCGAATAAGCGCCGCCTCCTATTTAGCACCGCCATCAAATAAGCACCGCATTCTTGACAAAACGTCTATTAGAAAACTGTTCTCTGCATAACTCGTTTGATGCCAGAACAGTATGAAATTGACGTCTACAATTCATCCTATCGTGTGTACTGTAGCGCTGGAAACATCGATACCCTGTCACCTAAAGGGTTTTTAAAAGCTTCAAAACGAAAGGTTTGTTACAGCACCCAATTGAAAATGAAGTGTACGCATCAGCGAGGTTGACTATTTATGAGAATCTGTCGATTGGGCAAGAAACGAGACTAGTACCTCCGTTGTCCGCATTCAATAGTCAAGGCAGGTCAAACGTACCCCGGCCCCTAAGATTCTATTAATGAATTGATTATTTGAAAAATGAATCCGTTAGTCGTTCCCATAAATGGGGTCAAATTTACATCGGCATTCCTGCATGCATAATGAGCAGTGAATATTTTACCAGAACGTCTGTATATTTGGTCAGATTGAAAATCTTTGAATGGCTGAATGGATAACATTACTTCTAAGACATTTACATCAATTCAGGGAGACTGAGTTGGTAGAAATTCCATAGCTGATTCGAGTAAATATGATTATTGGCAACATTATCATAATGATACAGCCCTTTTAACGACGTGTTACTTACGTCATTGATGACGTTAGCATGACGTCAAAAACATCTAAGGCTTAATGTGATCACTCTTAAGAGTATCAGACATTTAGGGCAAAAGTTATTACATTAAGGACTTCATTACTTCGGCGGAGCGCGAAGTAAAGGATTCGCGACGCCCAGGAATGTATCAGAGTTGATGTTTTTGGGAAAAGATTGAGCACGTTAAGTCTGTAGGTTTTCGGTTTTATTCGGCGACGAAGTGAGAGCCGAATTATTTCGAGATATCTCGAGATCACTTCGATTTCTTTGATTTATTCTTTAACTTATTGGAGGAAGAAAGAATTATTATTTGGGCGTGGCCCAAATAGAGTAATGGCAACGGCTTGTTTTGACGCAAATGTGCAATAGGCACGCAATACGTGCTAACGTAAACAAGGCAAGTAAACAAGCGAGGCGATGCCAATGTCTGCCATGCGAACGTCTTTTACATGGTAAGAGGCATGTGGGAAAGAAAGCTCTGCTAGCACGGCACTTTTACGATCTCAAAAACTAATCTGAATCTTCAGTATTTTTGCCTCATCGAAATTTGGAAGTATGAAGTCCAGGAATGAAATCTATCAAAAATATTTGGAATATTAACGTCGGGTTTTGGTCACAATAAGATCACAAGCGAAGAACCTTGAAACACGGAAACTCACAAAACGGATCGAAATCCACCAATCACAAATCACAAACAATGACCTTTTGAACCAGTTGAAGAAACCTTTCGTTTCCTAAGAGGTCTGCTAAGATGATTGGCGTCTGACATTCGAAATACTGTACCTTCAAAACGGCATAGCTTTTACTTGTTGTGCTAATTATCCTTCAAAACCATCGGTCGATTCTAGCTCAAAAACTCTCAAAGCGGCGGTTTAAATGTTAAAGCCCGTGGCTGGTTGAAATCGACTCTTGTTTGTTTTCAAACGATTTAGGATGGATCGAATCGACTTTGGATCGATTATTATTTTATCAGCTTGTGGTACGAACGAAACGTTTTTCTTCTCGATAAAGTTCACTCAACAAATTTAGAAAGATTTACTTGACTTTTCATATGTGGAACGAACTGACTATTTTATGGAACGATCTGACCATGGAAGGAAATGACCGGTTACCCTCGCGTCATGCACCTAGCAGACTACCGATGAACAAATTAAATCTTTGTTACAGAAAACACGGAAAGTCACACTTTTTGTA